CTATCACAGGGTTTGGCAATTCTAGCAGTTTCACCAGAGAATTCAATGACATCCCCATCAATATTATCAGACAAGAGATCTTTAACAATAGCAATATTAGGTTCTACTTTGACTTGCTCAGGAGGTGTATAAGTTCTAGTATTGCTTTTACGAACAACAGTTGAAGCTTTAGCATGATCCTTTACTCTAGCAGGGAAAGGTGGTTTCTCAACATAAGAGGTGGGAACAATAGGATCATTATAAGTGATGGTCTTTTCTTAAACTTTAATAGGTGCAGCTACTTTTACTTCAATGGGAGGATGATATTAAACCACTTCTCCTTGGGGAGATCAACATAAGTAGCAAAAGATTCACAGAAAGAAGCTACTATCTTAGAGTCAAGTCCATATTTAGTGCTAAACTTACGGAAAATATCGGTATCCATAAAATATTTAACACAATCAAACTTAGGTGTCATACCTGACTCCTTACCTTCGTCGAGGTCCCAATCTTCAGAGTTGCGTTTAATTATATCCAATAAATTCCATCTGAATTCAATAGACTTCATCATAAAAGAGCCAACACAAGAAGTATCGAGCATGGTGCGATTGTTATCAGAAAGCCGAGCATAAAAATTCTGGAGAATTGTCAATTTTGAGAGCTCATGATTGGGGCATGAATATAATATTGATTTAAGCCTCCCCCAAGCTTGAGCGATGCTTTCTCCTTCGCGAGGCCAAAAATTATATATATAATTGCGATCACGACGAACAAGATGCATACGGTAATACTTTTGATGAAATTCCAATTTCATTCTTTTATAGTTCCATGATCTCGTATCATCACATAGCCTATACCATGTCGATGCGTCTCCCTCCAAAGATAAAGGAAAAGCCTTCTTCTTAACAACATCATCGAGTATACCTGCAAGCTTAAATAATCCACAAATATCATCCAAATAGCGTAGATGCTCGTCGGGATGCTTTGTCCCATCTCCTGTAAAAGTATTAGCCAGCAGTTTTTCCATAATACCCGAAGGAAATCCAAAAGGAGTTTCATTTTCAATAGGTTCAGTAGGTTGAGGAGCAACTCTTTGCTCTACTGGACGGGGTGAAGATACCCCGAACAAGCCCCTCAGAGATTCAGTTTCCATAGTAACAAGTGACAGAAAATTTCAGCACACTATATAAATTTTTCCTTACCAAATTCCACCTATCAAAGGCGCTACACTCCCCGGCAACGGCGCCAGAAAAGAGTCTTGATGACCCACAAGTATAGGGGATCTATCGTAGTCCTTTCGATAAGTAAGAGTGTCGAACCCAACGAGGAGCAGAAGGAAATGATAAGCGGTTTTCAGCAAGGTATTCTCTGCAAGTACGGAAATAAGTGGTAACAGATAGTTTTGTGATAAGGTAAATTGTAACGAGCAACAAGTAACAAAAGTAAATAAGGTGCAGCAAGGTGGCCCAATCCTTTTTGTAGCAAAGGACAAGCTGGACAAATTCTTATATAAGGAAAAGAGCTCCCGAGGACACATGGGAATATCGTTAAGCTAGTTTTCATCACGCTCATATGATTCGCGTTCGGTACTTTGATAATTTGATATGTGGGTGGACCGGTGCTTGGGTGCTGTTCTTACTTGAACAAGCATCCCACTTATGATTAACCTCTATTGCAAGCATCCGCAACTACAACAAAAGTATTAAGGTAAACCTAACCATAGCATGAAACATATGGATCCAAATCAGCCCCTTACGAAGCAACGCATGAACTAGGGTTTAAGCTTCTGTCACTCTAGCAACCCATCATCTACTTATTACTTCCCAATGCCTTCCTCTAGGCCCAAATAATGGTGAAGTGTTATGTAGTCGACGTTCACATAACACCACTAGAGGTTAGACAACATACATCTCATCAAAATATTGAACGAATACCAAATTCACATGACTACTAATAGCAAGACTTCTCCCGTGTCCTCAGGAACAAACGTAACTACTCACAAAGCATATTCATGTTCATAATCAGAGGGGTAATAGTATGCATAAAGGATCTGAACATATGATCTTCCACCAAGTAAACCAACTAGCATCAACTACAAGGAGTAATCAACACTACTAGCAACCTACTAGCACCAATCCCGGACTTAGAGACAAGAATTGGATACAAGAGATGAACTAGGGTTTGGAGATGAGATGGTGCTGGTGAAGATGTTGATGGAGATTGCCCTCTCCCGATGAGAGGAGCGTTGGTGATGACGATGGTGATGATTTCCCCCTCCCGAAGGGAAGTGTCCCCGGCAGAACAGCTCTGCCGGAGCCCTAGATTGGTTCCGCCAAGGTTCCTCCTCGTGGCGGCGGAGTCTCGTCCCGAAAGGTTGCTTATGATTTTTCTTCTCATCGAAAGACTTCATATAGGAGAAGATGGGCGTCGGAGAGCCACCAGGGGGCCCACGAGGTAGGGGGCGCGCCCCCCACCCTCATGAGCAGGGTGTGGGCCCCCTGGCCTTCATCTTTGGCGATGATTTTTCTTTCTTTATTTTAAGATATTCCGTGGAGTTTCAGGACTTTTGGAGTTGCGCAGAATAGGTCTCCAATATTTGCTCCTTTTCCAGCCAGAATTCCAGCTGCCGGCATTCCCCCTCTTCATGGTAAACCTTGTAAAATAAGAGAGAATAGCCACAAGTATTGTGACATAACGTGAAATAACAGCCCATAATGCAATAAATATTAACATAAAAACATGACGCAAAATGAACGTATCACCCGCTATCACGCTCCTGCCTCGCACCGCCTCCAGTCGTGGCCATCTTCTGCCGGCCACCCCCTCAGCCACGCCGGTCGCATCTCTGCCCTCCACCGTCGGCCGCTCGCCTCGCCTGCTGCGTGTTGCTTCCTGCTGCCATGGCTGCTCTACCGCTGGTACGCTGCTGCGCCATGCCCTCGACACCGCCGTGGACAAATGTGGCGGAGGGATTGTTAATGGAGTACGAGAAGGAGGTGGCGGAGAAGGTGTGGAGAGGCAGGAGGTTTGGGGCGGTGTCACCTGGTTGTGGTGGAGGTATTTATCACTAATAAGAGAAATCGATTGATTTAGATAAGTTAGAAAAGTTAGATTAAAATGTATTATTTGTTTCCTGAAAATCTGTTATTTGTTTCCTAAGATAAATTGAACCAATAAAAGGAATCAATTGATTTGCATAATTTAAGGAAGTTAGATTAAAATGTGTTATTTGTTTCCTGAAAATCTGTTATTTGTTTCCTAAGACAAATTGAACCAATAAAAGGAATCGATTGATTTTCATAATTTAAGGAAGTTAGATCCGTGATTTGTTATACGTTAGGAAAGTTCTGGTTGTAATAAAAAGTGGAGAGAAAAATAAACCGATGGACCAGGGTGGGAGGGGGTGGTGGGAGGAGAGACGAAAAAAAACCCAGCGAAAATAAACCGCGGACCAGGGTGGGAGGGGTGGTGGGAGGAGAGACGAAAAAACCCAGCGAAAATAAACCGCAGAGACGATTCACCAACTCGTCCATTAGGAGTAGAGATATACATCTTCGAGTCTTCTCGGTATCAAGGAGCCATCTCAAGAACCAATAAAGAAGGAAATAAGTCTTTTCATAATAAGGAAGGAAAGAGGGAAAAACAAAGAAGGAAAGAAGAGGGATTTCATGACAGAATAAGGAAGAAAAGGGAGAAAAATAAAGAAGGAAAGAGGGCGGGTTGATGGCAGAATAAGGAAAGAAAGAGGGAGAAAAATAAAGAAGGAAAGAGGACGGGTTGATGGTAGAATAAGGAAAGAAAGAGGGCCAGTATTTCATCTCTAGGCAAAGAAAAAAATGAAAAGTGTCCCATAAATTAGGTAAGGAAGGAAAATATATAAAACTAAAAAAAAGGAAAGATAGGGTCTCCAAATGGGATATAATGGCACTAAACGTCTCCGTGCATGCATCAGACAAGTTGAACTACTTTTTATATCTGAATTTACGTCAAATTATAACTCAAAAGCAAATTATGTTGGGGTTGTTTAACATGCGCAAAAAAATACTATGTCTAAATTATAATAAACAAGACTCATTCTATGTTGGTCATGTACAATATTTTTCTGAGAACAAAACATTTGCTCTTATTTTTCTGCTCGACACTCTAGCGTCCGTCACAAACTCTTAAAGTGCTCCTAATAAAAATAATTTTTGTCACCAAAGCACAAGCAATTGGACTCTCTGTTGTGTGTAACACAAACTCCGCATTGATGGAGGATCTTTGTACAATGCTTCTAATATCATTGCCCCACAAAAAATGCTTCTAATATCATTGGACACAAATAGTGCTATGCTACCCAGTCCCTAACCCTAGCCAACATTGGTTCATGGAAATCTTTGTTGCCTCCATAGTGACTAAGCCTTTACTATTTTTATTATAGTGCGATATTTCTGGAGCATCACTAAGCAACGTCAAAAAATTCGTGAAAAGATACTCGCGACCGGGTAGATATTTCTGTGATTTAAATTGCACACACCTACAGTACACTTACGAATTCCTTTCACGGTTATGTTTTTGCACAACACATCTGTTTATGTGTGTTTATCATGTGGCAGTGTGCAAGATTTCAAAGAGTTTACTGATGTCATCATGTATGGTAGTCGGTCGTGGGAGGAGGAGGAGGGGGAAGGGTCTTGAGCTATTGGGTTCAGGAAGTATGGTTTTGTTCTTCTCCCGCTGCAATGTACGGGCATTTGTGCTAGTAAAATAAACACAAAACGGAGAAGGAACAGAAAAAACTGGATTCATCAAACAAAAAAAACCCCGAACAGCACCAAAGCCCAGAACGGAAAAAAGAACGCGATTGTTGTAATCGAAATAAAACCAGTGGGCCGGCCCAAAACGTGTGCTCCTAGGGCCTCCCATTTTATAGGGCCGAACCAATCGACAAGTCAAGCAGCCCCCGTCACTCTCCCTCGGTCTCTTTCTTCTGCACGTCTCCTCTCCATCCCCATCCCCACGTCCACCCACCCACTCCACCAATGGACTCTTTCCCGCCGCCCCCCCCGCCGCCGCCGTCTGGGCCGGTGCTCTTGCCCTTCTCCTCCGATTCGCCGTTGCCCTCTCTCCCTTGGCCTGACCTCATCGCCGGCGCGGCCGGTGCCACCCTCCGCCTCGTCTCCGCCCACTCACGCCACTTCCTCGCCCTCTCCTGCCTCCTCCTGCTGCCGCTCTCCCTCCTCCTCCTCTCCCTCCCCGCGCCCTTCCCCGGCGCCTCCCCTTCCGTCTCCCTCCGATCCCCGCAAGATTCTTGGAGCACCCCCCTCCTGCTTCTCGCTCTCGTGGCGGCGCTTCTTTACCTCGCCGCCTTCGCCGCCGTCGCCGCCAGCGCGCACGCCGGGTTCTTCGGCCGCCCCGTCAAGCTCCTCGCCTCGCTCCGCTCCGTGCCCGCCTCCGTTCTCCGCCTCCTCCTCACAGCTCTCCCGGCCTCACCTCTTCTGCTTATCCCCCTGCTCCCACTGCCCGCTGAAATCAGCACAGGTATTGCTCTTCTCGGCGTCGCCCTCTTAGTCCCCTTCTGGTCCCTCGCCGGCGCCGCAGCCATCGTGGAGTCCACTGCTGGGCCCTCCCCGCTCCGCCAGAGCTGCCGGCTGCTCTCCGGCGCACGCCTGGCGGCGCTCTCCGCGTTCTTGGTCTTTGCCGCAGGCATTGGGGTAGTACTCTGGGGTTTCAGTGGGGTGGCCATGGAGACATATGATGCTGCCACCGGTTGGGCTGGCATGGCGCCGGTTGTGGTCAAGGCCATGGTTGGAACGGCAGTGTTGGCCGCAATGATGCTTTATGGAATCGTGATCAACGTGGTATTGTATATGCACTGCCGTGCAATCCATGGGGAGCTCACCGGAGAGATCTACAATGAATTTGCAAGCTCATATGTCTACCTGCCGTTCGATGAGGGCAAGGATCGTCATATTGTATCGGTGGTCACACTGTGGCCTTGATTGTCTATCGCGCTATCTGGTTAATGGTGAGTTTATACATTCCAAGCACAGTTTTGACCACAATCCTGATGACTATGTGTTCATCGCTGTTCCTCTCTGCATAAGTGTGTGTTCCACCGTGCAAATGTTAAGATGAAATAGTGTCTTATTAGCCTCAGATGCGGTGCTCTTAACATAAAAGTGTCCGTTATATGTAGGCTGTTGTATTAATAGTACGGAATAACAAAACAGCAATTATGTGGATGGTTTACCTCAGAACAACATAGTGGTATATCAGGGATGACTGTAAAGTCTGTTCCAGTTAAAAGAGTCTGAGTTGGAATTGCCTCAGTGTTTAGAATGCATTTTGCTTGAATCGTACAATGAGGTGTTTGTAACACTGCTGGGGAAATGATTCTTGATAGTTTCAGAATTCAGACATACCAAAAGCACATTTGTTCAATAAATTTACCATTCATGTGAAGCAAAAGTTCTACAATTTCAGATGCTATTGAATGCAAATGTAACATGTGAGACAACATCATGCATTTTTCTCATCGCATTTTTTCTTCACCAAGAGACATGCCTAGTGGTGCTAACCTTAGCGTTAGAAAAGAAGTAAAGTAGTTGTATTGTAATTTATACCACTCTGCAATTTCTGTAAAAGAGTGTCTTCAGTATTTTTATATTGCATATACTGAGAAAAATGCATAGTTTTGAATTATTTGCAAGGACAAAGCTCTGAACTTGGTTTTGATATTGGAGTAGTTGCCCTCTCTATTTGCAACCATTTATTGACCCTTTGGATCTTTAACTTGTGAAGCAGGACATTGAAGCAAATCTTCTATGAAATTAACAATCTATCAAATGTGACATCTAGTTCCTCATATCAACACAATGGGTCAAGCCATTCACAATTTAGATTACCCCCTCAAACCTACATGATGTTATTGTAATATGTTATGATGTTTAGGAAGAAATAACTATATATTCCACTTCCATTCTAAATTTTTAACCCAGACAAGGGAACTGCGGTGTGTTGCATGGTTAGTAGGGTATTTTCTTACATACTAGGAGTATGTGATACAGTACTACCTTTCCAGTAACAATAATAATAATACCTTTCCAAAAATATGTGTAATACACTGATGCAGTGTTCAGTGGACGCAATGTTACTGAATCCGAGGATACTCCACTGAAGTGAAATGTAATTTAGCTTGTAAAAAGCATATAATAACCATCATTAGCAGCTTCTTTCAGGTATCTTGGGATTTAGCAGCTGCAAAAATCGTGTCGGTGATGGTTTGCAACAAGCACTTCTGTGGGTTTTCCAGCAAAAACACCAGTCAATCATAGTTTCAGCAGACACACATGTGTAACACCGACAAGCGTACCAAACACACAGCTGATTAGGTATTAGCAGCAGCGAAATGTGTACTACCATATTGCGAGCAGGTAACGAATTGGATAATTGTGATTGGAAATGGAAGATAATTAAGCCTTGGTATAGGCTGGATTTGCAGACCTGCCCGTCAGTTTTGTCTCTGATGCTGAGCAGAGTTGGACAGAGTGGATCCATCGTGCTCATTTCGTACCTAACTCGGCTCAGTACCGTTCCTCTCGTGGTATAAAATGTATCAATGTGCTCCATCTCAGGTGCTAGCTAGATCGACCGACTTTATCAGGGTTGCAAATTTGGAACCTAAATGGTACCCTCCGACCCTTCTTAGTTCAACCAAAAGAACTGTGAATTCTGAATTTTTTTAGTTCATTTAGTTGAACTGAGAAGGGTCCGAGGGTACCCCGAGGTTCCAAATTTGGATCCTTAGATTTTTTTTTTTGACGGGAAGGTATACTTTATTAACTCAAATAACGGTTACATCATCCGCTAGAAATTTAACAAGAAAATTAGGAGGTGCATCCGCCCAAACATGAGGGTCGTTTGCACACCCCCACTTTGTTAGCTCATGAGCTACTACATTTGACTCTCTAAAGCAATGCTCAATAGTAACCTTTCCAAAATCACTTAAGATATTTCGGCAATCATCTAACACAGGCGCTGCAACCATTGAATGGCCTTTGTTTAGCTTTATTGCATCCATCACAACACTGTTATCCATTCTTACCATCAACTTAGCACATCCTCAAACTTTATTGGATCCTTAGAGTTTATTAAATGATGGGCCTTTTATTCAGATTCAAATAGTGTGCATTAGTTCTTGAAGAAAAAACATTCCTATCATATCTAGATGAGTGGATGTTATATGATCTAGAAAAAAGGAACATTTTAAGAGCATCTCTACCCCTTCCCTCCCAAAAAGTTATGCTCCTCAAAACTTTTCTGGTTTGAGGAGTTAGACCAACTATAATTGATCCCCTATCCGGCTATAAGGGAGGATAAATTCCTTCAAACCCTTAACTCAAATATTTGAAGATCTCCCACAAAACTTATACCCGTTGCTCAAAATTTCGCAGAAAACTAGTATTCTTCTGGAACCTTCTCTCTCCTCCTCTGAGCGCATTCATGGTGTAACCGTCAGTGTGTCACCCAAATGGTCCCTGCTAGGCTATAAAACCCCTCCTTTTGACACCCTGAGCCCGGTTCATGTCGCATCACCGGTCCACCATCCGGACTATGCTTTCCACCAGTCGGGCAGAAATCGAGGCGGAGGTGGCCGCAATTGTCACCTCGCATGAGTCTATCGTCCCCACGGGCGCCAATTCGAGCTCCTCCTCCTCCCCGTTGTTGTTGTTGTTGGAGGAGGAGGATGGAGAGATGGTAGAGGTCGAGGGTGAAGAGGTAGAGGGGCGTGGGTTGTCTTGTGGGATGAGGTGGAATGGGATTATGAGCGCTCCCTCGCCGAGGCATAGTTCAAGCGCGTCGTCACCACTGTTCTTGTCGATCACAATGCAGCGGCAGAGCACCGCGCATTGAGGGCTTGGTGGAGGACGAGTGCAAGGTTGAGCTCAACTGTCGGACCATAGCCATTATGGAGAGGGATCACGACGTCATGTTCGCAGAGCTCGGTGGCACCGGCCCTAACGACCGTGAGCCAATGGCGTGGATGCGGAGGGGCATCCCTGACCACGAGGCCCTGGGATCCGGCAAGGCGCTAGTCATCGATCTCTCCTTCAATGTGGAGTAGTTTTACATTGCATTAGCTCATTTTAGCTTTAGTTATTTATGAATCTATTGTAGCTTTGCATAATTAAGGTGTTTTTATGTTTTATGTGCTATTGTTTTTTTTTGACCAAAAAAACAGTAGGGTAAATCCCCTACTGTGAATTTTATTTGCTATTATTATAACTGTATGCTAATCTAGTTTAAATTTGTGTTTGAAATGACTATTTGTGCCTTGAGCTTTCGAGAAGTTGCGGATTTCAAGTAAGGCTAGGTGCGAAAAAATTGAACTTCTCGAAACCGGAGGAATTAATTTTTCTTTTTTCTTGAAAGGAGGACTTGAGTGTTAGGGGGTCGTTTGGAAAGCCATATGATAGGGGCAGGGTTAGAGATGCTCACAGTTGATCAGCGGGGACTGCAAAGTTGATCAATGTTAGCCCGTTATAAAAATAATGAATTGAAGGAAATTGTACCATGAACTTTGCGTATTAACAAGAGTCAAAGGAGTCCTGCCCTGTCTTGACGACAGTATACATCTGCATGTACGCATCCACTCCCATCCCATCCCATCCCATCCCATGAGGCCATATGCGTCAATCATTCCAACATATTCCTCACTCCCAAGTTGCATGCATCGCTGCATCGATGTGATCCACGCCGTCGTGCTCCGCATTGATCTGATGCGGCGCTAGCGCTAGCGTCCAACCTTAATCAGCCCACCGTCACCTTCCCCGCCGGTCCGTCCTCGGCAACCACATTAGTCAGCCCGTACAGCTCGACTTCCGGCGTCCAGCCTATCACCCCCCTCCCCGGAGCATCTGCCGCCATATGCAACCACGAGGTAGCTATACGGAGACGCACGCACGCACACTATATATACGCTCCTAAAGCCATGCCTCCCTTCTCATCAAACCATTAAACAGTACGGGCTTCCTCATCTACTAGCTCGTCGTTAGCTATGGCCGCCACCGCGGTGAGGTGCCTGCTCATGGCCGCCGCTGTCCTGGCCCCGCTTTTCGCCGGCTCCGAGGGCGCGTATCTGACGCCCAAGTTCTACGACCGGAGGTGCCCCGGCTTGCCGGGCATCGTGCGGGCGGCGATGACGCAGGCCGTCGCGGCCGAGCCGCGGATGGGCGCCTCCATCCTCCGTTTGTTCTTCCACGACTGCTTCGTCAATGTGAGTGGGAGTACACTACAGTGGTGCCATTTCGTCGGCTAATATAGTTGATTTGCTGATGTCGAAGTGTTCCTGCGCAGGGCTGCGACGCGTCGATCTTGCTCGACGACACCGCCAACTTCACCGGCGAGAAGAATGCGGGGCCGAACGCCAACTCGGTGCGCGGCTACGACGTCATCGACACCATCAAGGCCCAGGTCGAGGCGGCCTGCAAGGCCACCGTCTCCTGCGCCGACATCGTCGCCCTCGCCGCACGGGACAGCGTCAACCTGGTAATCAGTTGCTCTGGTTCATCCGCGATCGATCCATGCATTCCTATATAGAGATTCATACTACTGTACAATGCAGCTCGGCGGGCCGACGTGGACGGTGCAGCTGGGCCGCCGCGACGCGCGGAACGCGAGCCAGAGCGCGGCCAACTCCAACCTCCCGAGCCCGGCGTCCAGCCTCGCCGGCCTGATCACCACGTTCGGCAACAAGGGGCTGACGCCGCGGGACATGACGGCGCTGTCCGGCGCGCACTCGCTCGGGCAGGCCCGGTGCGCCACCTTCCGCGACCGCATCTACAACGACACCAACATCGACCCCAAGTTCGCGGCGCTCCGGAAGCTGACGTGCCCGCAGACCGGCGGCGACGCCGCGCTCGCGCCCATCGACGTGTCGACGCCGACCTGGTTCGACACCACCTACTACGACAACCTCGTTAACAAGCAGGGGCTTTTCCATTCGGACCAGGAGCTGTACAACGGCGGCTCGCAGGACATCATGGTGAAGGTGTACATGCGCAACCCGGACACATTCGCCATGGACTTCGGCAAGGCGATGGTGAAGATGGGCAGCCTCATGCCGTCGGCGGACACGCCCACGGAGATCAGGCTGGACTGCAAGAAGATCAACTAATATAAGGTCAACCGGATCGGAGGATGAACCTGTGGTGTCCAGTCCGGACGAATTCGCGAGGCTATGCATGCTCACAGCTTCACTCAGAGTACATTGAGCAGCCAAAAGGGCTGTTAGCCGATATGGGACTGCTCCCATTTCCATTTTGTTGCTGGCAATTGTAATGATCAATTAATTAATCAAGATTCTTTTCCACGAGACTGGGGTAGATGGATTAGCTTGAGGTGAGATCGCACTCAGTCCGATAGCGAGCATACTCCAACGGAGTCTACTGACACATCTCAACAGCACTATGACAGACGTCAAACCGGTAACAATTAAAAATCAAACTTGCTGCATCTGATCTGTTAGAGCCTAAACAAAACACTTAATTTACCTGCGTCCCCGATAACTAATGCAGTGCAAGTTGCCACGCACAGTCGAGCGCGGCATGCGTCATGGGCACGCACGGCGCACGGCCCCAAGTTCAGCTGGGAGCAAACATGCGCGCACGGTGGCATGCATGCTGATGCTGAGATGACAATGGCAGGCCGCCGGGCCACTTGCCGGGGACGAGACAGATGCCCGCCGCCTCGTCACGTGGGAGGGGTACCTACCTGTTTGTCGCAAGGCGTTGTGACGACGCGGAGCCGCACGTTTGCCTTCCCTTGAGGCGCCGGCTGGCTGCCTCGATCGGCTCGGCCCTTCCCCGTAATTAGAGGCAGAAATTACATATTTGACCTGAGGGCCAAATCAAATAACAAACTGACCTTATTTCAAAAAAATCTCACTCTGCTGACCCTTCTGTGTGGCGCCCGACAGCTGGGCGCTACACACTACTATGTAGTGCCTCTCTTTTGGACGTCGCATCTCCTGTCAGTGTGGCAGCCCTGGTTCAATTGCGGCCCCACAGACAGCACTGTAGCGCCTCAAGCTTAGGCGCCACACTTGTAATGTGCAACGCCTAGCTCTTGGCGCTGCACAGGCTGTGTTCCACTTAGACTGGCCCCACCCTCTCTCCCATCCCACCCCCACCCCACACACCCCACCCCACACAAACCCTTAGCCTTGCGCCCCTCCTCTCTTCCCCTCTCCCCCCTCTCAAATCTTGCAAATCCGAAGTATTTGACCGTGGATTTCGAAACCAACCCCTCCTTTAAGGTAATCTCCTTCAATCCCCTCGTTTTCATCCATAGGAATTGTCACATTTGCTCAAATCTTGCTACTTTGGGGAAACCCTAGTTTTGGCTTGGATTTGCAAATTTGTATTGAATCATGTTATGTTTCTTTGCTAATTTGGGTTGGTTAGGCTTTCATAGTATGCTAGGGTTAGGGTTATGTGTGTTTGATGTTGGTGTTAGGGTTATGCTATGGTTAGGGTTGTGGTTATTGTTAAGTGGGGGTTAGGATTATTAATTCATATATATGTTATGGCATAGGTATTTTGTGCAAATATTTTTGTTAAGTACTTACTTGATATATGTGTGTTTTTTATTATTGTAGGGATGGGGAGAACATGTGTTTATGTTCATCATGTGGATAAAGAGGCCTTTTTGAAAGGCAATGTTGAGCCGGACCCGGATGAGCTTGACATGGTATTTGAGAGTAGTCCAAGCTATGCGGAGCTCTTGGACCAAGTGAGGAAGGATTTGAATTAGATGGACCCAAGTGACGTTGTTGAGTTCGAGGGAAGGCATAATGTTGGTTTTGGAATGCACATCCGTTGGAAGACAATGCGTGTGAACTCCGAGCAACGTTGGGTTGCATACAAGGAGACGGTTGCCGAATCGCTAGACAAGGCTCTTGAGTTATTTGCCTCCAAGAAGGCTGAGTCTACTTTGAATTTGGACTTGAACCGGAACCCCTCCCCGTTGGTTGCTAGCACTCCACCACCCATGAACCAAGATCAAATGAGTGAACCTCATTTCACGCAACAAGATTGGCCAACATTGAGCCCGAGTCCAAACAACCAAAATGAAGGTTTTGAAGAGGAGAATGATGAGTACGAGGAGGATGACAACGAAGTTGATCTCCATGACAACAATGTGGGTGATCTCGACCAATATCATGTGCAAGAGACAATGGACCAATCCATCCCTTTTTCCTGTGCATATGCATTGGACTCAGATGACGATGGTCCCGATGAAGAAGTTGATGAGGAGGGGTTCACACCGAAGGAGGCCCAAGCATTCAAGGAGGTATTCGGGCGGGATCACAAGACACCATTGTTCAAGGATCTTAGTCTCGCGGATGAAGCCGTTGTGGATGGTGGCAAATGCATATCTCTTGGAGCTAGGCCAAGTTCTCACCGTGATTTGGAAGACGGCAAGAACGGGATATATCCCGGTTGTGAGTTTCAATCCTTCTTGGAATTGAAGATGTGGCTCGGCAACTACTCGGTTACGCATTATCGTCCACATAAAGTGGCCAACTCGGACGTCAATGTGCGTTACACGGTCAAATGTGAAGTGCCAAGTTGTCCATGGATTGTGCGTGCAAGGCCATGGAAAGGAGGTCCCACTTGGCGCATAGTGAGTTGTCTACCAAATCACATGTGCCGGCACAAGAATGCGGATGGCAAGCTTGTGTACCAACAACACAGACAACTCACGTCCGAGTTCATCGCTTATAGGCTTTCCAACCAAATATCCACACTTCCAACAATGAGCATCAAGAGTGTCATTGACCCTGTGTAAGCCATCTTTCATTACAAGGTGAAGTACGGCAAGGCATGGAAGGCAAAGCAAGATGCATTCAAGATGTTGTATGGCAATTGGGAGGAAGCATACAACCGACTCCCTAGGTTGTTGTTAGCTATGGCCACCACAAACCCAGGCATGGTTCACGTGGTTGAGCCTCATGGGCACCAAACATTGATTCACAACGGGAGGACCGTCCGAGTATTTGGCCGTGCATTTTGGGCCTTTGAGCAATGCGTGAGGGCTTTTGAGCATTGTCGGCCCGTCATCGCCATTGATGGCACGTTCTTGACCGGACAATATAAGGGCACTTTATTGGTTGCAATAGCAAGTGATGCCAATAACCGGGTGTTGCCTTTGGCTTTCGCTTTGGTTGAGGTGGAGAACAATGATAACTGGGAGTGGTTCTTGCGTCAATTGAGAACAAGGGTATTACCGGCTGAAAGGGAATTTTGTGTCATATCGGATCGCCATCCAGGAATTCTAAATGCGGTGGTGGTTGACATTCCCGGACATAGAAAGTTGCACCATCGATGGTGCATGAGGCACTTTTGTGCAAACTTCTATAGGGCATGTGGTATCAAGGAGTTGGCCGATGATCTTCAAGATTGTTGTCTCGCTTTCACCAACAAGCGGTTTGCCACATTGTTCAATGCATTGCTCAGACACAAGAAACTTGACCCCGGTGGTCATGAATTTCTCAGTAAGAACATTGTCGAAAGGAATATGTGGGCACGTGCTTTCGATGAAGATGGCCGGAGGTACGGTCAAATGACAAGCAATATGGCAGAATGCTTCAATAAGGTGCTCAAGGGTGTACGTGCATTACCCGTGACGGCAATAGTTCAATACACATTTGACAAGATGAATGGATACTTTTGAAGTATTCAATGGAGACGGATAAGCAGATTGCTGGTGAGAACAAGGATAAGCACAAGTACTATTTCCCACCAAAGGTTGAAGAATGGTTGGACTTTCAATCACGAAAGGCAGACTCCCAAGAAGCTGTACTATATGACGACAACGAGTGGAAGTATGAGGTGAAAGAGCCTGGAGGAACCACAAACGATGGCCACCAACACGGAGGCCGCGCTTTCAAGGTCTCCCTAACACGGTGTGATTGCAGCTGCATGAGGCCATCGTTGCTTCATCTCCCATGCTCACACTTGTTAAATGCAGCCCGTGTTAGGAATGTGGACGTCAATCACCCTCTTACCGTGAGGGAGTCCGAGTTCTCAATCATGATGGTAAAGAATACATGGGCTCCCCGGTTTCAGCCATACTTGGACCAATCACAATGGCCGGAGTATCATGGAGTTTAACTATGGCCGGACCCGGAATTGAAGGTCGTTAGACGGGGAAGACGTAAGACAAAGCGTCTTAGAGGTGACATGGACGGATGGGGCCGTGGTGGCGGTGGAGAATACGGCACCGGCCAATTCCAAGAGCCTCGTGAGCAATCCCGTTGTGGGGACTGCAGTCATGGGGGACACAAACACAAGAACTTGTCCCAAATCAAGAAAAAGATCAAAAAAATGATGCAAGCACAAGCCAAGCAAATGATAGCCAACCAAGTCAACCAAGGAGTAGCCAACCAAGTAAAACAAGCCAACGAGGCACTAGGCAACAAAGAGGCCGTGGTGGTGGTAGAGGCCGTGGTGATGGCCTAGGCCATGGGGATGGTCTTGGCCATGGTGAAGGCCTAGGCCGTGGTGATGGTCTAGGCCGTGGTGGTGGTGGTAGAGGCCGTGGTGAAGGCCTAGGCCATGGTGATGGTCTTGGCCGTGGTGATGGTCTTGGCCGTGGTGGTGGCAGAGGCCATGGTGGT